CTAACTTGTGCTTGAACACTCGATGATCATCCTTGTTCGTGTTCGTCTTGAGTTCTCGGAGGTCTCGGCTACGCGCCTTGGCTCAGGATCTCTCGACTCGGCTGTGTTTTGTTAAATACTTTAAAGAAATCCTATATACATTCTATTTTTTTACCATTTTATATCATTGGCACGTTTACAGCTCTCAATTATTTTTCAAAAAAAAAAAAACCAAGGCATAAGCAGTGCCCCGCCATTGTCACATTATTAGTGATGCTATTAGAGTACTATTTTTAGTGCTCTCAACCATTTTTCAAATACTAATCTCTTATATTATTTTCATAACTTGAAAAAAAAAAAGAAGAAATTAATGGATTGTGGTTCATTGCTTGGCCTTCTTGGCCCTTTTGCTCCAAGCTTCTAAGAGAAGCTTGAACCTTTGCCTAGCTTCTCCAAGAAGCTTGGCCCTTTTGCTCCAAGCTTCTAAGAGAAGCTTGAACCTTTGCCTAGCTTCTCCAAGAAGCTTGGCCCTTTTGCTCCAAGCTTCTAAGAGAAGCTTGAACCTTTGCCTAGCTTCTCCAAGAAGCTTGGCCCTTTTGCTCCAAGCTTCTAAGAGAAGCTTGAACCTTTGCCTAGCTTCTCCAAGAAGCTTGGCCCTTTTGCTCCAAGCTTCTAAGAGAAGCTTGGCCTTTTTGGTCAAAGCTTCTAAGAGAAGCTTTGCCCCCTTGGTTTCTTTATATAAGGAGAGCCTCTCCTTCCATTTTAGGGGTTAGAAAAATCAGATATATAACATATATATCACCCTCTCTCTCTATATCTCCCTCTCTCTCTACATTTGGGTGTGTTAGACTGTTCAAAGACCCTTGTTCTTGGCCTATTGCACCACACCTCATAGCCATACACCACTACCATTGGACTGAGGTTCTTGGGAGGGTTTATTGAGCTCCAAAAGCTGGTTTTTGGCCCCTGAAGCTGCTGGTCTCGAATTTGGTCTTTAAGGGTAAGTTTCTTCCCCTTTTTAGCACTTTCTTGGACCTCATTTTAGCCTGTCTTGCTTGCTGATTTGAGCTTGGTGTATAACATAAAAAAGTTTTTTTTTTTTGTGTTTAAGATACTTTATTAAGGCCAAGTTTGGGAAGACTAAAAAAGTGCACTTTTTGTCTTTTTGGACTAAAAAATTGAGGTTGAAAATATGGATGTTTGAGTTAACTTTTTGACTTTTTATTGAAAAATGTGTAATAAAAAATTGTAAAAATTGATTTGTAGGGAAAAATTTGAATTGGGAGTTGTGCAGCCGTAATTGTTGACTTTTGGTGAATAGTGTTAACTTTTTAACTTTTTGAGCAACTTTTTGATTTTTTGGCTTTTTTTAAAGTCCCCAAACTTGGCCTAAGACCACTTTGGTGTTTGGGGTTGTTTGACCCCTCTTAGGCCTTGTTTGGCCTCATTTTTGTGCATTTTTAGTGAGCTCCGAGACCACCTTGCTTGGGCCTCCTCACCACTGAAATTTTGAGGGATTTCAGTGGTGAGGATGGTGGTTTAAGGTCCTAAGAAGGAGAGGGCCATCCCCTCTCCTTATTAGACACCTCATTTTTGACCGTCCACAAGACTTGGACGTCACCATTGGAACACTTGGTGATTACCCTTGTTTGTCTTCGTTTGGAGTTCCCGGAGGTCTCGTGTCACACCCCAGAACTCGCCCCTAAAAGTTTGGGCATGACCACCTCAGAAAAAAGACATAAAGCCTGATGAATATAATCTATGGGGCCTGAACGGAAGCATTTAATAGTATATAATAGCGTAAAATAATAATAATAATAATAAACATATCCATTGAGCTACCATTACTATGCCAGGATCCCAAACAAAACATAATGCAGATAATATGCATTGTCATGCACCCGAAGATAGCTATGTACATATACATATACGCCAATCTTAACAGACAATTAGGGTACAAATTAAAACTTAGCAAAACTCCATAACTTGAACAATCAACATCTAATAGCTTTGATACTTAGGGTTTGACAACTGGGTAACAAAAGCCACATGTGAAGGTTGAATCTCCAGGTTGAGTGCCTACAGAAACAGACATAACAGAGGGTGAGCCGGGCTCAGTGAATAGTATGAGACATAAATGCACAATTTAAACATAATACATAACAATGCATAAATAAATGCGAAGATCATGTAGTTAATCTGTTCCTGTTTTCATTTCATATGGCCTTAAGCCCAATCCTGCAACATAAACATGATGGCTATAAAGCCTTTGAAACATGGTGGCACGAGGCCCTTGAAACGTGTGGCACGAGGCCCTTGTAACTTGTGGCATAAAGCCTTTGTAACATATGGCACTAAGGCCCTTCAAACTTGTTGGCGTTAAAGTCCTTGAAAATGGCATAAAGCCCTTGTAACATATGGCACTAAGGCCCTTGAAACTTGTTGGCGTTTAAGCCCTTGAAAATGGCATAAAGCCCTTGTAACATATTGGCATTGAAGCCCTTGAAAGTGGCATGAAGCCCTTGTAAACATATTGGCATTAAAGCCCTTGAAAGTGGCATGAAGCCCTTGAAAGTGGCATAAAGCATACTTAAACTTGTAACATATTTAAAATATAACTGAAACATACTTGAGCTCGTAACTTACTTGAAGCATACCTGAAACACACTTGAACTTGTAATATACTTGAAACCATACGTGAAACATGTTTGAAATATACTTGAAACCATAACTTGTATATACTTGAACTTGCAAATTTACTTAAACTTGTATATACTTGAATTTGCCACACAATTAAACTTGTAACGCTCTTGAGCTTATAACATACTTGACTTATAACATATGCAAACTTATAACAGACTTAACTTATAAACTTGTAACACAAAAAAATAACTTCCAATTCACATGGAGTCACATAACTTTCCAATTTTTATAGTATTCGTAGAACACTTACAAAGAACAGAGCATTAGTGACAATAATTATCAACAATAAATAACATGTACATTTTTGTACTACTACTCACAGTGTTCAGGTGCGTAGTCCGTCCTTGTAGCTAATTGTAGACTCGCCCGTGGGCCTCATGCTACAGTTCGGACTCGATTTGTGTCACGGTTCTTAATCTGAACCAAAGAGTCCAAATCTGGCAAATCATTTTGAGAAACAGATTTTTGAAAAAGTAGTGCCAAACATGGACTGCTTTGCCAGATACAGAGTCGCCACCTAAATATTTTTAAATGGGAGAATTTAGGAAACCCTGACTCGGTGCCGAAGGCCACATGTCACTACAACAACAAAAGTAACCTATGGTGACGAAAACTAGTGGAAGAAAATAAAATTCGTCACTAAAGAATAATTCGTGAGGAATTTATAAATTTTGTCACATATATAAAAAATAAAAATGATGGTGACAAATTTATTTTCGTTCAATAAATACTTCATTTTAAGTGAGGAAAAGTTAAGTTTCGTCAAAAAAATTTTTCCGCTAATTTTTTTGGGGGTGGCGCCAAAATTTTGAGACTTTGGGTGAGAAAAAAATTGTCACTAATTATTAAAATTATTTGTGAGGAATATATTTTCGTCATTCAAAACGTTTTAATATTTTGATAGCTTTTGGTGATGAAATAATATTGTCACCAATTTTGTGGGAAATTTTGATATATTAAGCGGCAATAAAAAAAATAGGGTATTAATTTATTTTTCCCTTTTTCTATTTATCATCTCTCTCTCTCTCTCTCTCTCTCTCTCTCTCTCAAAATAGGGTATTAATTTGTCTTACCTCTTGCTCCTCCACACGCCGATCGCCATCGTCACGCTCTATTAGCTTACCGATCGTCGCCGCCACTAGTAGCTTTGCTGGTAAACCGCACCAATCTTCTTCGCTCGGTGATTTTGGTAACATGATTTTCTCTATGCTCTTTTTCTGATGTCTCTTTCTCTTATTCTCTGTTTTGGTATGGTGAAGAAAATTAGTGAGAAAAACAAATTCGTTACTAAATAAGAATAATCCACGGGAATTTATAATTTTGTCACGTATAATAAAAAAATAAAAATAATAGGTGACGAAATTTATTTTCCGTCAATAAATACTTACTTTTAGGTGAGAAAAAAATTAAGTTTCGTCACCTAAATTTTTCCACTAATTTTTTTTTATGGTGCCAAAATTTGAAACTTTTGGTGAGAAAAAAAATCGTCACAAATTATAAAATATTAGTGAGGAATATATTTTTATCACTAATTTTTTTTTTTTGAGAAACTTGATTTTAAATATTTTACATATTTTTAATGAGAAAATTATTTATTCCCTAATTTTGATGAAATTTTTGATATATTGAGCGGTAATGAAAAATACACTACAAATTTTTTTCCCTTTTTTTTTTTTTTTTTTTTTTTTGGGTTGTGTTGATCAGTTTTCTCTCACATCTCTCTCTCTCTCTCTCTGTGTCAAAACAAAACACAAGTTGGGTCTCTTCGTTTAGCACCCCTTGTCCTCCTTCAGCTTGTTCTCCTCTAGCACCGCCGCCGACGTCGCTCGTTCTCCTCCTTCAGTGTCGTTGCCAACGTTGCATCTCCAAGCCCGTCCGCCCTTTTCCTTCTGTGTCACATGTTCTCTTCCATTAGCTCTTCTTATTATTCGATTTCTTTAATTGTTTATTTTCAGGTATGGGTCCTTTCTGTATCTCTCTTACTCGATTTCTCTATTTTTTTTAATCTTTGTTTTCCTTAATTTTCAGAATTAATGTTTTTCCTAATTTTTGAAACTAATGAGACACGCAGTGTACAGATGATTTAGAATTACCTATTAGAAAGTTCGTTAATTTGTCTCGTCTAGTTTCTCCCACTACTAGAAAAATGACTTTTTACTACAATATAATTTGCGACCGCCATATTAGCAGTCGCAAATAGTCAATTTATTCCTTATTTTCCTTTATTTATTTTCCCCTCTTCCTTACATTTGCCCTAGTCCTTCACAAACACTGATCGTTCTCTCTCTCTCTCTCGGTCTCACAGACTGGTATGAATCTCTCAATCTCTTCTCTCTCTCTCTCTCCTTGATGTTCTCAGATCAGCACCTCTGCTATGCTAATATCCTTCATCCTTCTCAGGTAAACACACATGTATATGTAACTCTATATACTATGTATATGTGAATATCAATCTTTGAAATTGAAATTATTCTGTTGAGATCTGAGCAAGAATCGAAGTAGTCGTCCTCAACTTCCTTAAGATCTTGAACTCTTCGACTCCGGCAATCTCATGTCACTTTGGCTTGCAATTTTACTTCAAATCTCTAATCTCGAAATGTGTGTTAAGCATTGAGTCACTGTTGATTTTAAGTAGATGAATTTGGGGATTTTTCAGTGTATTACAAATCGATAGAAGATGGAGTAATAGTAGAGCGAGTTGAGGTTTGATGAAGATTAGAGATCGAGAAGTTGGATACTCAGTGGTTCACTACGAAGAAGTCGTCTCCTGATTCGAAGCAAAAGTGAGGTTCGTTTTGCTGAAAAAATTGTTCCAGTATTTCAATTCTATTTCAATTCTCAATTTAATTTTTCAATTTCTTCTTTATCTTGTTGTTTTGATTGATTGATCCATGATTTTTCCAATTTTCTTGCTGATATATCTGTACAAGTATATGTAGACATATGTTTTTTTTTTCATTGAATAAAGGGCCATCTATGGCAGCTTGACAGTACAGTTAGCTTACATGTTTAACAAGCCTGTTGATTTCTGTTTGTCCAGTTTGACACAATGATCAGTAATAGTTCCAAACCATAGGTGAAATCAGTAATTTACATCTTTTGATGGTACAGTAGCTCGTGTAGTCTTAGTGTTGGGGGATTATTTGAAGGATGAACCATGGTTAAAGCTCCTCTGCAACTACCTGAAGTATGAACTATTTTATTTGTAATTTTTATTTTCATGTTGCCACAAATCACGACATGTTTTATTTAAAATATTATAGGTCAAATCAATTTATATGTTTGAATATTGAATTTGATTGATGAATTCAGTAGTTATTCATGACCTGCTGAATGATTTGAATGTGCGAAAGCTTAGGGTAAAAACTGCAAGTCAAATCTTTGCCTTAATGAAGAGGATTTAAACTACTTTTTTAGATGCAGTCAAATTATTATGCAACTGTGTGGAGTTTAAACACAAATAACTGCAGGCTTGAATTCAAAGATAATACAAATAACTTGATATTTTCAAAGACAACTAGAATTGAAAATGGCAAACTGCACTGCAACCAAGTGTTGATAAACTAATTGTACAAGCCTAAATTGAGAATTGAAATTGACGCTGTTTGATGTATTGGTGGTGCGCAACCCTCATTTTATCTTTGCGTTGGCTATTTATAATGGCTGGCTGGCTGCGTGCAAGTTCAAACATCAGCACCTCACATCCTTCTGTTTTCAAGACTGCATGTCCTCCACCTTCTTCATTGTTGCACTCCTTATCTAGTGTGTCTTGCTCTCACACTCTGGTTGCCCCACTTGTCCCAACTTTCCAATGCCTCCATTAATTCAAAGAGAAGCTACACATTCTACACTACTGATTTTTTATGGTTGAGGCTTCACAGATTGCCATGTCCTCCTTTTCTTATGTAATGCAGACTTACTTCCATTGACTTGATGGAATACTTCTCCGTGTGTGACATGTTCTTTTCCTTTGACCAGGTGTTGAACAATACCACAACTATCCCCTGCTTCATGGGATATGAAATAACACTTAGTTGTTGGGATGACTTATACATGCCCTTCTTCCATAAGTTGCCATTTGTATAGACATAGTTACACATGAAGATTCCACATCTATCATAGCAAAACTACTTCTTTTAACATAAAAGGGGAGATAAAAAGTTTATAACAAACTCCTCTCAATTAATCTCAGTTTAATATAAATCTGACCCAAGTTACTTCAACCAACCCTTTCTTACTTGGCTTCCATCACTACGTACCCATTTCCTGTTGGCTAGCCATTTTTAGCCTATGGCTTGGTTGGAGATTAGTCACCCTTAAAGTGATTGTTTGGAAGTTGGACACCCTTGAAGTTTTCAACTCTCACCTATTTCCTAATTTTGTTTTGTTATTTTTGTCGAAGATTTGACTGTATCATCAATTGGTATTTGAAATTAATTTGGTGTGTATCCCATGCGCCATGGTTCTAGCCACTTAAATGAATCTTTACTCACCCTGATCAGAAAGGTCTTTGTTTAGGTGTCTCAAAAAAATTGAAAAGAGCGAACTTTGAAAGTGTTGTTCATTATGTTGAATCCTATGAGCAGAATTGGGAGCAAACAAAGCAAGAAAATTTCTACAATTAACACTAAGTCAACCAAATTCTGGCTGGTGGTATTGGGGCATGTGATTAAAAAACAGAAACTTGCTTCCTAAATTCTGGCTGATGGAATTCCTGCAACTAGAAGGAGACAATCCTTCAGACTATATTTCACATGCAAAATGGCTTCCTAAATAGGCTCAGAACAATAATGTGGTGATGCACTGATTCATTATGGTGTATTATTTTATGTTGGGATAACTCAAACAAACACATCAAATATTCAAAATTAAGCTCTTGACAGGCGCGCAGGCACAAGAGAGACTCAAGGAATGAACAACAAAATGTCTCTGTTGGAATTGTGGTAAACACTGGAATTAGAAATATTGTTGTGAAAAGAGGACTTTATATGGTAAAATTATCCTTCAATCATGAAAGTGTTGGATAAACTTTCATAGCCAACCTTGAGGATAAAGTTGATTTTTAGGGGGTGGAATGATTGGATCCAATATTGTTAGAAAATATTATTAAGCTATATTTTGATCTACTTCTTTATTTAAGCTTTAATTAGAAAATTGTAGGTACATGATTCTTCCTATCACGTGACTCGTCCATGAAAATTGCCATATCACCTCCATATGTTTTGGTCCCAACTCCTAGTGTTAGTCTAATAAGGTGGCACTTGGACCAACTAGATACTACCATAGCGGTGCCTTAGCCTTGAGCTTAGACACTTGGGGGCAATTTCCAGGAGGCGCCCCAGGCATGCTTGACTCTCACTCACTCAGTAAGATTAGTCCTCCACTTGAGTGTGCCCCTCTCCATTTTGTGATGCATTAACTCTTCTATTGGATAGGCTAATCACACAAACACAATTTCAAATTTTCGTAATATTAACTCTTCATTGATGTTACACATATATTTATAGGCTAAAGACTCTCTTAATTCTATAAGGATTACTACTCAAATTTTGGGTCTTGGATGACGAATTTTTTTTGTCTCCAAAGAGCTAATTTCGTCACTATAGATATTTGTGAGGAAATATTTTTGTAGTGACATCTGGTTAAAACTCTATACAGCATACACGTTGCTTAGAATTTGGATCTCTTTGAAATTGTCCAACTTGAGTTAAAGTACATTTCCTCCTTCCTAACTTGATGTAACATATTTGTTGCAGATTGGGGTTTTTCTTGATAGGAGGGTTTTTTTCTACATTCTTCCAATTTTCTCATTTGTTTTACTTTACTCCAATCTTCCACATAAGGTACTGCTTATGAAACTTGAAATTCAATTTACTTAAGGTCAAATTTTTGCACAAATTCTACCATAGTTGTCAGTGCTGCAGGAGCTCCGCTTTGTTATTAGTTTTGTTCCAATGTTTATCAGCGGCAATCGCAGCTAGCAGAATGTACATCTCTTTTCTTTTATTTAATTAATACCTCAATTAATTTATACGAATACAGAGTTATTTTTATCTTCTTGTAGTTGTTTTAAATGATATACTGAAGAGTAGTTTTATATTTGACCAACAGAGGACGATTGAAAGCATTAGTTTTCTGACTTAGAACTTCCCATTTCGGACTTATCAGAATCATCAGAACTGGCTGCATCATACTGAATGGGATCTAATTCGAGACATTCATGCAAATCACCTTCTGCTGTCATAGATTTGAAGGCATTAGTTTTCTTTTGCAGCTCAAGATTTCTCTCCTTTATTGCAGCTTCCAAAATTTGAATCATTTTTGCCTTGTATAGTGGTCTATTAACCATCAATTGATGCCCTTTACTACGAAGCTCCATCTTAATGGTGTTGGAGGTGTCATGGTTTAGTATCCATGCAAACTTTGCTTTCCCGCAGTATTTATCAAGGAAATTTAACTGTTCCTTCCATATATCTGTGTTCAAGTCAAGTAGGCCTATGTCAACAACTATGATGAACACTGAATCCTTCACTTCTTGCTTATTTAATGATTCAGCTTATGAGCATTCTGTAGGTGAACATTGTGCATTACTTTTGGCTTTAAAGTGTTCCTGAAGAATTTGAGTCAGCTCATTCCATTCAGATGCTTCCCAGGTAAGCACTTCGTTTTTCTGTAACCACTGAGACATTTTCAATCTACCCATTTTACCATTCAGTGCAAGTAGGACCTGCATTCCAATTTTGAACATATCAATCATTGCTGTCAAAATCTTTCACACATGAGTTTGAATAAAAAATTATTTCAGCTGAATTTCATATCAGCTTTTAGACTCCAGTATGAAGTTTATCCTACCTATTCATGGCCATGTATTCTATGCAGAGGGAGGAAGGTAAAGAGGGAAAAGCGAAGAGAGTACTACATAAATCTTGTGATCTTTAGATTTCATTGTCTAGATCCAAGAACCGTTTGCAGCAAAAGTATTGCAGAAAACAATTTTGGACTCTGTGTACTAGATTACATGTTATCAATAATTTCCCTTATTTTCGTTGGCTAGAATCTTTGCACCTCACTAGGAGATCAAGGGTTCTTGGTAAAAAATATTTACATGTCAGAATGAAGTAACTTACCATCAAGCTATGTTCAGTAAATTTTAGTTGACAATGCTTTCCTGCAGTATCTGCTGATGTACCGAGAAGCAAGTATAATCGCATTAGAGTGCCCGGGCCATTCTTCTTTACCACTTTGATTTCTCCACCCATCTTGTTCACCTGTTAGCACCTCACATTGTAAGATAGAATAAGGAGATCCACAAAGAGGTGGTGTGCAAAATACAGAAAATAATAAGTGACATTTTTTAGTTACATTTCAAATAAGATGAATTATGAGTCAACCCAAATGTCACATGTGTCAACCTGATTGAGATTTTGTTTTGCTCTAGTTCTAGTGTTTCGGTTTTCGTGACAAAAATTTTATACCAGGGAAAATGCTTTTACTCACCAAGGTTCGCACAATGCATAGGCCAAGGCCAGTGCCACCATGCCTGAAAATGGAAAAAGAGTTCAAGAAATTCATTATAGAGTTTATTATAGCATATAAACAATAATTGTAACAGCACAATAGACTTCACATTTACTCAATAATGGATTCTTATTAATAAATTTAACCAGTGGAGGATGTACAGCTTGGAAATCTGCTTACGTGCGAGTTGTTGAGGGATCAGCTTGCTCAAAGCTTTCAAAAACAGACTCCCATTTGCTTGGATCGATTCCTACAATAAGAAAATAAAGGAGAGAGGTCAATCAAGAATTTTTTTTTTTTTTTGAAATTGAATGTATTATGTTGTAGGTAGTTAAGAGTCCATTACATAGCTCTGAGGTACATACCACAGCCAGTGTCATCAACTTCAAACCAAAGAATCACTTTGTTATCTTTTTTGCAGGATCTCTTTGCGTGGTTTACATATTGCTTCAAAATTGTTTTATGTGTACTCCATGATTCCTTTGGATTGAGATGAAACTTCCTGCCGTTGCTAGAAGTGTTTGGATTCTCACACCATCCTCGCAGAACAATGTAGCCAGCTGTAAGCCACTTGGAAAATTAAATCCTGCTGGTTTTACCTTTACTCTCTAAAGAAAATTAATTCTCTTGTAAATGAATGAACTTGTGCTTTTTCTTTTTTTTTTTTTTTTTGATGCTTTAAATTGTGTTACAATCCTCCTTTAATGAAGTTTGGATGATTCAAAATATTAATCATTGACAAACTAGATTATGTTACTTGGAATTTAGCAATGTGTAATGAAGTAATGATCTGAGAGATTCCAACATCAAAACCTTCGGCTTTATGAGTCTTTCATTAGCCTGAATGCCCTAATTATGAACTGTTGATTGGGGTACATTCTTTTAAGCTGTCATCCAGATGTCAAATTATAAAATCAGTTATGCCTCTTACATAGAAATAAAATCATAAAATTTTGATAAAAATGAATTAGGTAGAGGAAACAGAATGGTGATGAGAAGCCTCGTAGAAAATAAGAAGCAAATATGTATTAGAAAAACCCATATCAATTCAAAACTTTGTTGGAGATCATTAGAGGAATCTAGTTTTTTTGGCATTGAGATAGACTTATAGGCAGTTAATTGAAAGAGCACTTTTGCTTATGTATTCCTCTTTTCTATTCTTATCTGTATGTTAACTTTGATAAAAAAAATTACTTGGACCTTTTTTTTTCCCTCTTGTCTCTTAGTTTCATTCACTGTTTAAGCTGCATTGCAAATTGATTTATCGAAACACAAAAACATTGAGCTTGCAAATCAGGCAGTGTGACAGTTGCACTTACACGTAGTAAACTTGATAGAATTGCTAATTAGGTTTGCAAAAATTTGAACAACTCTTGCAGAGTCACCTTGAACTAATCTTGGCATATCATCTATAAAAGAAAAAAATGAGCAATAATGTGTGTCAGAACCTCTGAAGTAGAGACTACTAATTATATAATATGATAATTGAACTTAAATTCTTTTCGATTATGATCTTTATGTAATGAAGATTGTCATACCAGATAGGTCTAGAACAGTCTCCACATTGTGGTTAATGCACTGCACAGAGAACTATGGATTGATTAGGTTGTGAACACGTCATGTGATTCTCTTTGGTTCTTGTTGGCATTAGTGCTAGTGATACATGGTATTCTTGCAATCTTTTGTCATTTTCTGTTATCTGTGTTGCTTATCATTAAGGATTACTTCAACTCTTTGAAGTTTTGGATTGTTATATGCATTTCTATTAAATTGGTTTATAAAATAAAATTATTTAAATATGATTTTAGATGTAATTAATAATATATTAATGTCTTCCTTATTTATTTTCTTTGCAGATTGGTTTTTGATGACGTTTGGAAGCATATTTGCAAATCAAGATCAAGTGTTGAATTATTTATTTATTTCCTGAACTGATGCTTAGTTGTAGTTGCAAATCAAGATTGAGTATTGATTTTTTTAGAGGCGAGGAGAGAAGAAAACGGAGGAAGGGTAATAGTTTGGGAAGAGTTCTCGGCAAGAAATCTGGAAGGATGAGAACTGGAGCGCTGCTGTCACCAAAAGAGGAATTAGACTCCTTAGGAACGTGGTATTTTGAATGTGGGCGCGTTGACCCACATTGGGAAAAGATTACTTCCGGGGCTGTTACAATTTTGGAACAGCAAGAATCGAACCTGTGCAAGGAGTCGCACGATTGATAGGGAGTTATGGGCCCATGTGTGAAGTTAGACTTGGAAAGCAAGAAGTTTTTTGCGACGCACTGTGATGAAGGGTGCGGCATAACTGAATCCCATGGCGGGCCACGCAGAGTGGATGGCGGCCGGATCGCAACAATGTCAAAATCAGGATATTTTGCAGATCTTTTCCCTGCCACTGTTCTTACACAAGTCCGTCAGCTCAG